CGAACTGATATTTATACGAGATTGTCTTTTAAATCCATCAAAACCTGTTACTTGTCTATTGCGTATACAGAAAGAAAAAGAACACAAAAAACTACTGATAAAGATTATTGTCATAGTTTATATGATGAAGTAATGATAGAAGTCGACTAAGTGATCTTCATTTTCTCACTCGTTCTTTTTTTTTTGATTTATTTGCGTATGTTACATATTTCGAAATAGTGTATCATGATTTATTATTCTATTGTCGTATGTTTTTTACTTATTTTAAAAACTGTTTCAATCGAAAATGTCGATTATAATATTTACGGTATAACAGCTGATGGATGGGAGTTTGTTAGAGACTTTTTCAAAGAAAATTTTGCAGAACTATTAGATTTTGGTGCATCTGTAGCAATTTATCATCAAGGAAAATTAGTTGTTGATTTATGGGGTGGATGGTTTGATCGAACACGAACACAGCCTTATGATAATAATACATTACAGTTAGTTTTTTCAACATCAAAAGGTTTAGTAGCTGTAGCTGTTGCACTTTGTGTTCAACGAGGTCTATTGGATTATTCAGATTTAGTTACAAAATATTGGCCAGAATATGGAAATAATGGTAAAGAAAATACAACTGTAGCAGACATTATGTCACATCGTGCTGGATTACCTCTGGATTCTTCACCTTTTGAGCAATATTTTAATTGGACAGCAATGATATATACATTAGAACATGAAAGACCACTATGGCCACCTGGTACAAATCATGGTTATCATGCATTTACATATGGTTGGCTAGCTGGTGAACTTGTTCGACGTGTTGATCCTATGAAAAGAACTTTAGGGCAGTTTATTCGTGATGAAATTGCAAGACCATTAAATATTGAATTTTATATTGGTTTACCATTTGAAGAAGAGTACCGGGTTTCACCAATAGATTTCAAATCATATGAAAACGGAACATTGAATCAATCATTACCTGATTCTTATGAAGAGTTTAACAATAGGAGTACACATCAAGCTGAGATTCCAGCGGTTAATGGAATCACCAATGCTCGGTCTATAGCAAGACTGTATGCATCTTTAATGAGTGATTTAGACAATAACAAATACAAACGACTATTGAATAAAGAAATCTTAAAACGAGCAACTAAATCGAATACTCCTGATCATGAACTTGATGTTGTGCTTCAACTTCCAACTGATTTTAGTATGGGTTTTATACTTCTAGATGACATTTTTCCGTCGTTGGGACCAGGAGTATTTGGTCATAACGGTAAACTACATTATTTTAATTTTTTGTTTATCAAACTCTTTGTTTTTATTGGTAAATTTTAGGCGTTGGAGGAAGTATTGGTTTTGCTATACCTGAAAAAAATTTTGCATTTTCCTATGTTATGAATCGATTGCGTTCGGATATAGCCCCGGAGATTGATCCTCGTTATAAAGCAATGTTAGATAAAATTGCAACTATAATTAATACTACTAATAGAAGTTGTCATAAAACATTCTCTCCATATATGTTCTTTTTTATGTTAATATATCTTTGTGTCAAATGTTTTTGTGAATAATTCTATTTAGTTTCAATGACAAATTCAACTATCACAATTTTCAATTGAACATATGTTCAACAAAAATGTCATGCATTTTGGTTTAGATTTTATTTAATAATAATTCAATTTAATGTATTTTTCTTTTAAACTTTAATAAAAATTCCAATATTGTATGGTTTATATAGAACATAATTTCCTTTTTTTAAATAGATAATGCCATTTAGTATTTAATGAAATCAGTTCATCTGAAAATTAAAAATTAAATTATAATCGAGTAGTTTGAAACAATTATGAGATTAAGTGAAGAAATTGAGTGTTTAAAATAAAATAAAATCATAGTAGAAAGCTTGCTAGACTTATATCCAGATAATATCTATAAAGCAGTATGAAACCTTTGCCTGTTCAAATACTATAGATCTGCTTATTAACTTTAAAAAGTAAAAAATTTCAAAAGCCAACTGGCAATTCTCATGGTTATAAATGAGTTCCTGTTTGAATATTTTCTAAATACCATATGAAATATTTTTGACGGTATGAAACATAATCATACATCATAAATAATGCATAATGTAGTGCTTTACTGGTAGACAACATCAAATGACCAATTATCAAGAAAAAAATTGATTTTCGACTACTAAAAACCTAGTTTTCTCATTATTGCTTGAGTGTGGGTGTGGGTGTGGGTGCGGGTGCAGGTGGGGTGTGAGTGCGGTTAAGGAGAAGTGAGTAGCCAGATAGCGCACACGCACCCACACCGACACCCACACATCCACACCCACACCCACACCCTAAGATCAGTCCCGCTTTTGGTCTATCCTGAAGGGTGTCCTAGAAGACGCATTGGCATTGGATAAGAATTGAAACAAAACAAAAGAACACAATAGTTGCTGCTGCTTACTCTCTTGCTTTCACACCATATCTATCTTAATGAATCTTATAACTTCACGCATTCTTTCACGGATCTCTTAAATCCTTCTCGTATTTATACACTCCTTTTAAATAAATTTGCATTCTACCATCGTCTGTTGATATCTACTCATTACCTCAATTGTATCTTTATTTAATATTAAACATACTAACTAGTGTATTTTATTGTAGATTATATCTCTTGTTCTCATTGTAAATTATATATCTTGTGAATGATAATAAATTTATCGAAACGTCGATGCAAAAATCAAAAAGTAATCTTTTTATTGCTGCTGTTAAAACACTACAATTTTGTTTCAAATTGTTGCCCATCAAATCAAATAATTAAATAATTTATTGTTTCATTTTTTCTAGTATGTATTTCTAGAGGATCTCGATGATGCCTAGAAAGTTGATCTTCAATTTCTATGAAAATGTCGCAGTTTGTAGAGCTCTTCATTCTTAGAACATTAATAAAAAAAAATTTCGAAAAGCTTTTA